AGCTGCCCTGCCTGAGAATAAATAAGTTCGAGGATGATAAGACTCTATCATGGAGGACATCTCCATAGCAACCGGGCATCCTGTGCCTTTGCACAGAAACTTTCCCAGCACCAAGCATGCCACAGCCATAAAGTCATCAGGGACCCCAATCTCAGACTCTTGTCTCCCAGTCACTGTCACAGATCTCCACACTGTAGCAGCAGTTTTATGGGTGTGCACCTTATTTCCACAGCCACCAATGTATACATTCTATATTACATTTTTTATATGCCAATCATATGTCAGTGACATGGTCTCAAAAATAACATAAAACTAGTGCAAAGGAGCAAGAAAACAAAAATGAAGATCTGCAGCCTTCATGGGGAGCCTTGGTCAATGATGACCCCCATGTCAAGATCAGAGCAGGCTCCAATGCAGTCATAGTAACACCTAGGTGAGGGGTCAGGTTGGAGGTGGTGAAGTGTCCCCACAGGAGGACGCAGAGCTCTTGCAGTGTTACTGTTTGTGTTGCCTGATCCTGTCATTTTGATTCGGGAATCTCATGCTGGTGGGACCCGAGTCCATCTTCCTCACTGACTGAGACATTAAACAGGAGAGCCAGGCTGACCCACAGTCTCCTGGCAGGAAGCATAAACCAATTTCTGAATCTAAGGAAAGGACAGGCGTGAATTCCAGAATGTCATTCAGGAGATGCTGACAGAAGGTTGGTGGACGGGGCTGCCTCCTTCCTGCCCATCAGTCGTGTGGTTCGGCATTGCTGGTTATGGGAAATCACAAGAGGGACCCAAGGTGTGGATAGGGGTCCCTGGTTTCAGATTTTAACAATTCCTTCAGTTGTAAATCTTCAGTTTGATAAACTTAGATAACCTTAATCAGTGATTCTCAATAGGGTGACAGGCACCCAGGAGACACAAGGCAATGACTGAAGACATTTTTGCTTTCTCAGTTGAGGGTGGAGGTGTTGCTACTGGCTTTCAGTGAAGACACCAGGCTGCGTGACATCCTGCAGTGCAGAGGATGACCTCCACAAAGACAATGCGGAGAGAGCCTGCTTCATGTGACTCATGGCCACAGGATATTGTGGACACTCTGGATTACTCCTGTTCTCCAGGAAGGTGGCCCAGGTGTCTGGTGGTGGCCTCAGTGGTCCTGCTGGATCTCATCTGCTAACACCGTCACCACACGTCCTTCATCCACCTGGTGAAGATAAGACCTTTTCTTTTTTGAGCAGAAGTTTCATACAGACCCTGAAATCAGACTCAGAGACCAGCTCTTCCACAGTTCAATGTGAATGGCACGCTGCAGAATCCCATGTACCATATGGCACCGCTATGTAAAAGGGCTGGGTTGACACATGTGTTCTGTGGCATCTCCTCATCTGTGAGCAGACAGAGGAGCCTGAGAAATGGGTTCAAGTGTGAAAATGGGATTCAAAGCAGGAGTGCTTCACGTTTGTGTTCTGCTTCCGAATCTATGTTGAAGGGACACAGATGGTCCATTATTATCCCTCCCGCACACATGAGCTTAATCATGCTGGAAAATTTTAAGTACTCTTTAAATTTATTTATCATGTGCACGGTTTACTGGAAGAAAAAAAAAGTCTGAAGTTTAAAAGAAATCTGCAGGTGGAAATTTAGCAGTCAAATCCCTTAAATCCAAACCAAAGCAGGAATCCAAATCCATATGATTTAACCCCCCAAATCACATCATGGCAGAAACATCATCGGGACCTGCACCTCTGTCTCAGAATCCATTCCATCTCCACTGCTTATCCTGCCTCTCTGAAGAGCCTAGTGCCCCAGTGCAGCCCTGGCTACCACCCAGACATCCTGCCCTTGTCATGAGCTCGGGAACGGAAACCTGCATTGGGGACCTTGAGTCTTATGATGCTCATGATCACAGATTGTATTGGAATCTCCATGAAGGACAGAGAGGGGGAGGTAGTGCCCTGGTACCTTCCAAATTTAACCGCATCTTTGGATGAGCTGAGTATGATCTTCCCCTGAAAGCACTTTCCTGGTAAGTTCCCACAGGAGGACAGGAGATGATGGGGGCTATCACACCACATCCCCTGGGAGGCTTGCAGCCAGCTCACTGGGTACTTACAGGTGAGCCCTGTAGGCCACATGTGGATGTCTACAAACCCAGATGTCCTGGGAGGACCAGTGGCTTCTCCTGGATGCTGAGTGAGTGCATGGCCAGCGCCAGTAGTTGCAGGGTCAGCTGTTTCTTCCCTGGCTTTCCTCATGCTGAAGGCTGAGGGAGCCATGTTGGGGAGCCCACACTCCTGCGTGGAGATGGGCAGAACTGGATGGAGGCATCTGGTCTAGTTGCCGCAGTGGCTGGCCACTGCCTTTGAGCAGGGAGATGGTTGGAAATGTGTGATGGAGGAGAGCAGAAGGCACGGGGAACAGCAGCTCAGAACACTGTCTGTGGATCCTGAGGACACTAGCCTTGGGTCCCTGATGTGTCTCTGACAGGCTGTGAGGACAAGGCAAGTTCATCTTTCCCCTGGAGCCTCTGTGTCCTCTTCTGTGATGGGGCAGGGCACTGTCTCTGGGGGTCTGTCACAGTGCCTGGTGTTCAGTTAGCACAGTGGTAGGAGAAGGACACATCTGCTGCCTCCCTGAGCTCTGAGACCCCATGCCTGCCCCACCCAGGTGACGTGGTGCAGGTGCAGCCTGCAGGGTGTGCCCAGCTAAGGTGCTTATTTGGTTCATCCAACATCTCTGGATCCAGCCAATTCATTCTCAAGATTAAAACTTGAGGATTTCACTTGACCTGGAAATTTCCAACTTGAGGGTTTAGAAGCTGTGCAGCCTCATCAGGTGGAGCCTCTTCCACAGCCAACTGGAGCAGAGATGCTGCTGTGTGTGTGCCCTTTGCTCTCAGTGACAGTGACGCCAACAAGGACACATGTTGAACATTAATTATGGACCACAGCAACCTCCTGAGCAGAGGGAGACAGGTTAGGGAGCAGGAGCCTCTTAGGACAGGATGGTGGCATCTGGGCCTCTGAGGGTACCCCCCTTTACGGCTCAGGCCATCTGTTCTCCAGCACCTCTTGGAAGCCACGAGGAGACTTGATGTCCTCACGAGGTGGCTTGGCTCTTGCTGGCACTGTGTCTTGGCCTCTAGCTGCAGCAATTGTGCCTTGCATACTGCCATCTTGCAGACTGTGCTCATTTTGGTGGCACCTAGAGCTCCTCTTTCCGGGGATGCTTGGCTGTGGGGAGCCATGTTTCTGGGGTCATTTAGCCTGCTCCATCTCCCCTGGTTCAGGAAGAGAGAGATTTCTTGGATGAAGCAGACCTGAGTGCCCGCATCTTCCGAGTTTTGCTCTTTCCTGGGAATTGTCTTCCCCTATCGGAGGACGTGAACTTGGTTCAGAAGCCCTTGCTGGCTTGAGTGAAATGGCCGACGGCTGCCCAGGCTCAGGCAGGACCTGCAGCCCATCCTTAGTGAAGGACCAGGAAGTTGTTTGCAATTGATTAACAATTAGGGAGTCATTTCCATGGAACCCGCTTTGTCCCCACCAGGGCTCGTTCTCATTTCACTGCCAATTGATTCAGCCCTTCTGCCCCCAAAGTTCGGTGATGACCCCGCCCTTGTCTGTTACTGTGACAATGAACCTCTGTGCAAGGAGTCTCCAGTCACTTGACCCCGGTGGGGGTCGATATGTGTCCCTGAAGGCCATTCTGGGGACATTTGCTAAGCTTTAGAATGCTCCAAATAGGCTTCCTTGTGACTCCCACAAGGACAATTAGAGAAGACCCCTGGGATGCATGATCTCATATCAGTGCACGTTTACTCAAATGCAATGGCATCCATTTGGCCACCAGTCATTAGCACTCGATAATGAATTGAATCAAAATGTGGACATTGCCTATTTGAGAGGCAAAGAAGAAAGCACACACAAGTCTCAGAGGAGATGGCTTATTTTTGTACCTGCAAGGTGCACAGAAGGAAGGTAAGGTGTGTAAATTGAAGAAAAATGAGTCAAGTGTCACCTGAAACTGGCTTATGTAGCAGACAGCCTATGTCTTCCTTCTCGAGTGTCTTCCTTTATACCTTAGCCCCTTCTCCTTCCCTCAGCTGTTGCCCACAGGAGGGACTGCCAGGAGGGACTGGGATTCAAATCTCTTGGTCAGGAAGGTTCCATATCATCTCAGGAGGTGCTGCTCTGAGAAGCCAGGTATACTCAGTGTATGTGAAAATGTGAAGTTAACCGTATTTCCTGAGAAGTACAATGCATGCTACTTGAATGGGGAGAAAAAAAAAAAGAGGAAGACAGAGGACATCTCTCTACCTTTCTCCTTTGGGCTCTAGAAAACTAGAAAAGTTTTTTACTCCTTCCATTTGCTCACTGGGCTTCTGAGGACTGAGTCCTGCTGAATTTCAAGGCCGATATGTCAGTCAGCCTTGCACCAGAGTGACCAAAGGGCCGGTCAAGGGCAATGTAGAGGAGGGAAAGTTTATTTTGGCTCTCAGTTTCAAAGGTTCAGTCTGTGCTCAGCCGAATGCAGCACTTTGGGGTGAAGGTATGGCAGAACATCATGGCAAAAGGGAATGCTAGAAAAAAGCAGCTCAGGACATGGCAGCCAGGAAGTACTGAAAACTCTTCTAACCAAGAACAAAATATAAACCCCAAAGGTAGACCCCAGTGACTCACCTCCTCCAGCCACACCCTGTCCCCATGCGGTCAAAACCCAATTAATCCACATCATGGAATTAATCCACTGATTAGGTCACACGTCTCATAATCTAATCATTTCACCTCTGAAAATTCTTACATTGTTTTACATCTGAGGTTCTGAAAGACACCTCATATCTAAATCATAATAAATGGGGAGGCTGGCCTTTCATCAAGAAGAGGATACACGACTTCCGGGCACGGTGCAATGGCTGCCGCCGGCTCCTTGGCGCTGGGTCTGGACGTCCGCCCAGTCCCTGTGGCTCGCGCTGCCTCTGCTGAGCCGAGGGTGCGGCGCGCGTGACCCAGAATCGCGAGTGATGAGGAGTGTGTTCCTGGGGATCCGGCTTTGAGGATGGTGCCCGAGACCCGACGAGCCTGCCCGACCCAGGGGTCTCAGGAACCTGAAGCGAGAGGCAGGGACGGCGGGTTTGGGGTCTTAGGGCCGCGAGTTCTGGGATTCTGTCTGTGTCACCCAGGAAAGCTGTTGTCTACGCCTGATGGTAGAGCTTACCGCGCCGCCCTCCGCATAACGCACGCCCTACACCGCCTAGTGCCACCCTGCCCTCCTGCATCTGTCCCTGCAGCGAGCCGGCCGTGGTTGTTGAGGTGTCGCCAGAGCCCCAGGACACTAAACCAAGCCTTTCCTTTAAAACTTGTTGCAAGTCTAACCTCCTTGACAGCCTGTGCTTGAAATCCTGAAGGAATTGGACGAATATTACAAGAAATTTAAACGAGAGACAGATGGTGCCCAGAAACGCCGAGTGTTACACTGCATCCAGAGAGCCCTGATTCGGAGCCAGGAACTGGGCGATGAGAAGATTCAGATTGTGAGTCAGATGGTGGAGCTGGTGAAGAACCGGACCAGACAAGTGGATAGTCATGTGGAACTCTTTGAAACACATCAGGAAATCAATGACACCACTGGCAACAGCGGCAAAGCTGGCCAAGATAAGTCAAAGAATGAGACAATCACGCAGGCAGAAAAGCCAAATAACAAACGTTCCCGGAGGCAGCGCAACAATGAGAATCGAGAAAATGCATCTAATAATCATGACCATGATGACATCACCTCAGGAACACCCAAGGAGAAGAAAGCAAAGACCTCGAAGAAGAAAAACCGCTCTAAGGCCAAAGCAGAGAGGGAAGCATCCCCTGCAGACCTTCCCATCGATCCAAATGAACCCACGTACTGTCTGTGCAATCAGGTCTCCTATGGAGAAATGATAGGTTGCGACAATGACGAGTGCCCCATGAATGGTTCCACTTCTCATGCGTGGGACTCAATCATAAACCAAAGGGCAAGTGGTACTGTCCCAAGTGTCGGGGGGAAAATGAGAAAACCATGGACAAAGCATTGGAGAAGTCCAAAAAAGAGAGAGCCTATAACAGGTAGTTTGTGGACATTCACTAGTAGTGGGGAAAACAGAACCAGCTAGTGTATTTATTACATTGCCACCTGTGCTGAGGTGTGAGGGTTGTCAAATGTGTATTTTCAAGGAATGTTGGAGAAGGCACCGTTCCCTTCACAGGGATGGCAGTGACTCTCTCCACCTTTTGTTCTCACTGGTATATGTGTGTAAGAAGACAGTGGTCTGTGGATCAGCATTTTAGGAACTACAAATATAGGTTTCAATTAAACACTTACGTGAGTCTCAGACTGATTTTTTTTTCTTTTGTGTGTGGGGGGATGACTTGGAAGCAACCTAATACATTGTCATAAGAAAAGATTTATCTATTTTATTTTAATAAAAAATAATGTTACACATTATGAACATTTTTTTAATTAGCTGGGTTGCTAAAATACAGCCTATGGCACATTTGTTTCTTGTACCATAATGTACATCCATATAACAATTCAATAACAAAGGTTCAAAGTTGGAAGATTAATTTTAAGAAGGTACATGGTCAGTGGAAAAGTGCTCAACAAGCCCCAGACCTTGGGTTTATCCCCAGCTCTGCAAAAACAGGTAAAGGGTTAAGTTTTACATGGCAAATATTTTATATACTGGCCTGTTCCCACAATGGCCATTTTTAAATGATTGGGTTCATTTTTATTATGAACCCAAAAGAAGTGGTCTAGTGATAGAATTTAAATCACGCTTTTGCTATCATAGATCATAGTGTGGTCATCTTTAACTTATGTCAAGTGTATAAATGTACATTTCCCAGAGATCTTGCTCTCGCTGTATTATAATTGGAAGCACAGCCTGATGTTGTTGTAAAACCAAGGTATGCTTCCTGTTGTGTGTGTGAGTTGTACAGGTGTGATGTCAAGAATAAATGAAACTTGGCCAGTTTGTTTCTCTAAAAAAAAAAAAAAAAAGAAGAGGATACACTTGTCTTAGTGTCTGAAGGCTGCCATAATTGGTTTCAATAGCAAGGATTTACTTTCTTGTGGAAATTTCAGGTCATGGTGTTTGCTGGATGGCTTTCTGGGTCTCTCTGTGGCTTGTAAATAGCCATGTTCACCTGTCCTGTGCCTTCACCTGGCCTGTCTCCTCTACATGTTTGTGTGCACATTTTCTCCTCTGACAAAGACCCTGGCCACATTGGATGAGGATTCACCCACCAAACCTCATTTTTACCTCATTACATCTTTAAAGATTCTAACTCCAAATAGAGTCACATTCTGAGGTGCTGGGAGATATGACTTCAACATGTGAATTATTTGAGGGAGACATAACTCAGCACATAACAATGATAATAGCCATGTTTCCTATTCAACATCTGTGATTCCTTATTCTTGAGTGAATTTCCAAATGGAGGAAAAATGCTCACTCAACGTGAGATCTGAGCTAGCGGTGCTGTAAGCTCATCTTAGTTTGGGATGCTATAACAGAATACCGGATGCTGTGTGGCTGAAACAACATGCATTTTTAGTTCTTATTGTGAAGGCTGAAAAGTTTGAGATCACAGTGCCAGAGATCTCATGTCTGGTGAGGGCTCCCTTCCTGTTTTACAGATGTCTGTCTTGTGTGCTCACTGGATGGGGAGCAGACAGAAGACACAGAAGCTCTCCCTTGCACCTCCTTATAAAATAAACTCTGCCTCAGGGGAAATACATTGAGGCTATGCAAATGTCTTGTTTCTCCTTAAACTTCCACCTACCAAGTTTAGCACCCATATACATAAATTGGATGCAGCAAAAACACTGTGTGTGTGCACACATGTGTGCAGTGCTAGGGATTGAACCTGAGGCCTCACGCATAGTAAGTAAGCACCCTACCACTGAGCCACATCCCCAGACATTCCACCACCTTCATCATGATTTTTATTGTTATTATATTATCTTCATAATCATTTTATTTTTAAGGCAGGGTCTCAAATTACCCAGGCTGACCTTGAACTTGAGACCCTCCAGCCCTAGCCTCCTGAGCAGCTGGAATCACAGGCTCAAGCACCAAGCCCAGGGGATGCAGGAGTTTTAACATGTAATTCCTCCCTCTAGTGGTGACTTCTATACCCCTAATTCTTTTTATATGCAATAATCAAAATTCATCACTGAGAAAGAGCCAATTTTTCTGTTTTATTAAATTGTATTTTTTAATGTATTTGCTTATTTCTTTATCCCCATGAGGTCTCCAAAGGGCTATATTCTTTGGGATATAACCCAGGGACATCCCTGTTGGTTTTGTTCCTCCAGTGTTCCCATTTCTGGTGTCTGCAACAATTTCACGGTGGCCTCTGCAGCTTTCACACACCTCCTCGTCTCATGAACACTTTGTACTTTCTAAGTCTGCGGGAAGCTGCAGGCACATCTGTGCTTTCCCTGCCTGGGCCAGTTGTCCAATCACTTCTTCCAGGAGCCCTGTCTTATTTATTGAAGAACAGTGTTTAGAAGCCAAGATGGCTGTCCCATGTACCTGTTTCCACTGAGTGCCAGGCCTTGGTGGAGCAGAGTGTGGGAATGCATATTGTGTGCATTGATCCAATGTGGATGGACAGATGGTCTCTCTATGTACATATTTGCCTGCCCAAAATCCATCTACTTATCTGCTTACCTGAGTCTAGATGAGTCTCTCTCTATATATATATATATGCCGAGACACAAATGCAGCTATATCCAGATATAGACACAAATTTGGATTCATACACAAAGGTTAGACAGAGGGCCAGGATCTAAATATCTATTCATTGAAGTCTCATAGAGATTTAAAATAGCTTAGGAAATCCTAACATGTACCGTCATGGAAAGCAAATGGACCCATAGAATAATCAGCACCATCTGTCTGTCTCTAACATTACAACCTCCAATCAAAATGGTGCTATTCAAAATTACTTAAATCAATGTCTCTACCATTTGCTCCAGGTAGCTGGTTAATTTGTAATGTAGAGATGTTACTTTGTCACAGTCTGCATCCTGGCTTGCATTTACCTACTTGCTCATCAATTTTTTTTTTAAGTTTACATTCATGAAAATTTACTATTGCCACAAAGTAGGGGATGAGCTCCCTCTATCCTGGGTCACTCACAAGATTCTACTTGCCCTGGGGCAGCCTCTGTTTCATACATAGAGTGAGTCCTAATTTAGTTCTTCTGTCTATAACCAGGATGTGGGCTCTGTAATTCAGCAGTGTGAATCTCGTTCTTGCTTCTCCTGCAGGGTGCTTGCTGCAGGGCAGGTGCCCTGTAAGCCTTTGCTGAATGAAGGAGTAAAGGAATCGTCAAGCAAAACCACCTCAGAAGGACAAGGGCTTCCACGGTCTTCCATTTCACACCAGCCCTGCCCTCGCAGGAAGCATTAAAAAAGTGAAGAATTGCAACATTTGAAAATTATAAGAATTGTATGCCAAAGTCCAGTTCTTAGTCTTTCTATAGAGTTCGAATGCTCTGACCCCCTGGCTCTTGCTCTGTCTGGCTTCCATCCATGGGCTCTAAATGGAGGTGGCCAGCCTCAGCAGGACATCTGCTCTCAATTTTCCACAATCCTCACGGCTCCTCACTGTGCCCTAGGGAGAATACTGCATTTGGTCCTATGGACTGCATTCATCACCCTGTTTATGCTTTTTGTTTCTTGTTGCCCATTGTTGTTTTTAAAATAGGTTCCTACTGTGTTACCCATTGTTGGTTTTAAAATAGGTTCCTTGAGGCCTGGACTTCAGTGATCCTCCTGCCTCACCCTCCCCAGTAGCTGGGACGATGCATTGTGCCATTTTTAAAAATTTCTCTTGGTTTAGAGTTACAAGGATAGTGAAAAATTTTTCTTCTCTGGCTCTATTGAAAACTGATAAACCAAAGCAACACCAAAAGCACCAGGTGTTTCCATAAAAGTGAGAAATCTCACCTTTCCTTCAGAAATTGAAAAATATGACTATTGGTTTAGTGATCTATAAATAAGGTCCCCAAGGAAATTCCCCAGCATGCTTCACTCATTGGTACATCCTTCTGGCCCCTGGAGGCATGTCAGCTTGGGAAGGCCAAGTCCACTGGCCAACAGAGCTTAACATGCTTCCTGGTTCAAAGAGACAGTGAGGATATTTCCAACCTTCCTCATGCCCTGGCATTGGGATGCCTATGAGTGCCCTCAAGGTAACATCAAGGTTAATGCTGAACCTTTCTTTTTCTTGGTGAACTTTTATACTTGGATGAACTGAATAAACTTTTTTTGCAATGCATTATCCTTGTCTGAGTGTTTGGATGATCATCTGGCCATAGAACAAATTTAAGACAGCAGCCGAATGGCTCGTTGAGTTTGGTAAAGCCAGTGTGTCCTCTGTCTCAACTCTGCAGAGTTTCCAATAAAATTGGATTGTTGGGGGTGAAGTCTTTATTTCACAATATTTACTGATAAGTATTAAACAGGAAAATAAAATTAAAGTTGTGTGAAAGATTAAAGCTCTTTTTTGTTGAGAGACATCTGTTTATTGCTTTCATTATAAATGTGCTCTAGCTCCGGAGGCAAAACACAAAGCAAATTTAAATTAAAGTAAAAAGACACAAAGCCAGACAAGGCTGCTGTGCCCTTGAGATAACAATCAAGTGCAGGCATCAATAGCTGGAACCACTGTGTCAGGGGACAGGGAACACCACGCTGTTCCCAGGAGAACCAATTCACAACTGAGTTTCTACATTGCAAGTGTCGATCCTGACGCTGGCCATCTTTCTTTTACTTACTGATTCAACACCTATTAATCTGCACCCCTTGTGCCAGGCATGGGGCAAGGTCCAAGGACAACTTGGTGAGCAGTCACCACCTGATCCTTCTCCACTTCTGAACCAGGTTGTGCTATCCGGGCCTGGCCAGCTGGAGCCCACAGTCAAATGCAGCTCCAGAGAAGTTAGGTCTTATTTTCTCTTGCTTTCCTTTCATTGTATTTCCCATCCTGCTTTATTTCTTCCCTTCACATTTCTTTATTAAGGTATTGAACTTGGTGCTGAGCATAAAACGTGGATTCAGTCTTGTGCGCTGGAGCACTCCTGTCCCCTACAGCAGGCTCAGGAAGAGGGAGGCTGGCTGTCATGCACTGTCCTGAGGCTGTCTCTTGTCGGTGTTCACTCCTTTGCTTTTCATTACAACAGAACCTGAAATAAAGTAGCTTAAAAAGCAAAAGGGGAACTGAATTCATGAAAGGGCAAAATGTACTGAGGCAGAGAATGAGCAGAAACAAGAGGGGCTGTGTCCTTTAAGAATACAACCCAGGGAAGCGAGCTGAGA